GATAGATAGATGATAGATAGATGATAGATAGATAGATGATAGATAGATATAGAGAGAGAGAGATAGATGATAGATAGATTAGAGAGATAGATAGATGATAGATAGATAGATAGATAGATAGATAGATAGATAGATAGATAGAAGATAGATGATAGATAGATAGGTGATAGAGGATATAGATGGATAGATAGGGGAAATGTTGCTGAGAAGGAAAAATAAATTGAAAATAGGAACACTGGGGAAAATCTTGGCTGAAGGTTTCTCCACAGAGGACAGCCTGATACCAGTCTCCAGTCTTTGGCTTTTCCTCACCAGGTAGGACCCTGTACTCAATTTTCACTTCCCTCTGACCCTACCTTTCTCATTTCCAGATCCAAGGTGAACGCCCAAACTCTGGTGCCCCTAAGTATAAAGGCGTCCTGGGAACAATCACCACTCTGGCGAAAACAGAAGGGCCAGTGAAGCTCTACAGCGGACTGCCTGCTGGCCTCCAGAGACAGATAAGCTCTGCTTCGCTTAGGATCGGGCTCTACGACACGGTCCAGGAGTTCTACAAAGACGGGAAGCAGGGTAAGCAACCAGCTTTCCTGGGGCCCACAGCGGGAGAGACAGGCCCTGCACCAGCTCTGTTCAAAACTGCTCCTCACAGGGTGGCATTCTTCATGGCAAACTGGCAAGCGAACCACAGCATATGAACCGGTGCCTCCCCCCGCCCCGGTTGGGAAAGACTGAAAAGATGAAGTAAATGTAGGAAAGAACTAAGCCACTGTTTAAATAGGCATTGTGTTTTCTTTTTCCTTGAAAGTGTTCATTTTTTTAAAAATTTCAGCTTTGAAATCTTCTAGCCCCACTGCAATTTAGCAAGTATTTAGTACATGATCAGCACATGCACAGGTAATAGGGAAGCAGAAAAGATACAAAGATACAATAATACTAACCACTACTATTAAAAAGACATATAGATGCATTCTGGGTCCTGATTATTTTTTCATTTTTGCTTGATAAATATATATACATATATTTTCCCCCCTTGTGGATTTCAACAGCTACTTTAGGAGGCAGGATCTTAGCTGGGCTGACGACTGGAGGAGTGGCAGTGTTCATTGGGCAACCCACAGAGGTCGTGAAGGTCAGACTTCAGGCACAGAGCCATCTACATGGTCCAAAGCCTCGCTACACTGGGACTTATAATGCTTACCGAATTATAGCAACAACTGAAGGCTTGACGGGCCTTTGGAAAGGTAACTAATTTTGAGGTGGATTTTAAAATCAATAAAGCACACATATCCAATTAGCACCTTATCACATAATGGAGCTATTAAACGATTTCTCTTTTCTTCCAGGGACTACTCCCAATCTGGCAAGAAACGTCGGCATCAATTGTACAGAGCTAGTAGCATACGACCTAATGAAGGAGACCCTTGTGAAAAACAAAATCCTACCAGGTAACCTCCTACGCTACGTAACAAACAGGACGGCACGTTTACAATTTCATCTTGGAGCTTCTCTTGCCACATTCTACTGAATCCCTTCATTGTAATAGTTTTAGGTGATTTTGAACATATATATATAACTTTTGAGGAGCAGAAAAAGACCAAAACCCTAAATCTTAGAAGTTTCACTGCAACAATTTTTTTTTTTTTTTGGCCACAGAAACAAAATGCAGCTGTATTCTTATGTCAGCATTATTCTCATTTAATACAAAGGGGCTGTTAGCTTCTTACTCTTTCTATAGCAGGACTCGGGCGGTGAGTGCATCCTGCACTATATCCAAATGAGCTAGTTCCGTGAATTCATCAGTGTTTTCATCCAAATGTAGAACCATCAGACAGGTTCCTAACAATACTATTCTAACAGGTTCTAGAGACATTGAGATTCTCCTTGGACAATGACTTTAACAAAAGAAGTCTTAGATGCCTCTGCATGAGGCACTATGCCATACCCTAAAGGCACAGAGAAAACTAACAGGGTATTTTCCTAAAACACAATCCACTAGGCCATGTACTATTTGCTGTTTTCTATTGTAAGTATAACCTTGCTTATTATATTTATTTATAAGACATCCCACGTTGACTTCCTGATATCAACAGGTTTACAGAGATCCGATAACTAAAAAAATAGCAGCCCCTCCCTAAAGCCTGACGTTGCCCTGTTCCGCTGATCCGTTTCAGACGACCTCCCCTGCCACTTTGCGTCGGCCGTCTTTGCCGGATTTTGCGCAACCCTTCTGTCTTCTCCAATGGATGTGGTGAAAACCAGATTTGTAAATTCGACACCGGGACAGTACACTAGTGTGCCAAACTGCGTAATGACGATGTTCACTAAGGAAGGACCATCGGCCTTTTTCAAAGGGTAGGCTATGACCTTCCATGTCTCTAATGCTGTCCCAGGCTATCTATGCGCTTTGGGACACTGGCTCAGCTAAACAATAGACAGAGCTGAGCAGACTCGGTACACTATGCAGTATACTTAGTGTTTCCTTGTCCTTGCCACAGATTTCTCCGATCCATCAATTCCACTGTGTGGGAAAGTGAAAATTAATTTTCTCAACCTTGATCAGAGGCTTATTTAACATCAGTGGCCTTTCCCTTGGTCCCAATCTATCAGGGATGTAGACAGTATTTTGCCTTCTCTGGGCAAAACTACAAAGTGAAGGAAAAGCATAATAGAGGACTATGAGAAAACAAGATTTGATTTTTTAAATTCAATGGACTCAGTGTTTTAGATCGTATTAAAGTAAAACTAGAGAAAAATCACTGTCATTGAGCTAGAAAAGTGATGCAGAAACAATGTGGTTTGATCACACTCATGTAGAAACTAGTACTGTACAGTGGATCACTGTACAATAAAGCAGAAGTATATTAGAAATTACCTTCCTAAGAAAATATAGTATCGCCTAATTAATGGATATACTCAATAAGCATTATACTAGTGGTAAAGTAACAAAATTCTATAACCCTTAAAAATTGTAAGGCAATGCCTCAAACTAGTAAGATAAGCGTAAATTCACTATGCACATTACACAAAAGGTTCCACTTCACCATAATCTGCATTTATGACACACTTATACAAATGAAATATATTATAAAATTAACCTTAAATGAATGTCAATTATTTACATCAGCCACTAAACATTTTTTTTTCAAATTTAAAACCTTTTTGGGGACTACATGTTACAACAAGAATGAGCTCTGAAAATGTTATGCTAAATAAAAGGAGCTAGGTACAGAAAGACAAATACTGTATGATTCTGCTTACCTGAGGTACTTCAAGTAGTCAAGTTTATAGAGACAGAAAGTGGAATGAGAGTTACCTGGAGCCGAGGGGAGCGTATAGTGGGAGTTACTTTTTTTTTTTTTTAAATCCTCACCCCAGGACGTTTTTTGTTTTGTTTTGTTTTGTTTAAAACTGATTTTAGAGAGAGAAGAAAGTAGAGAGGGAGAGAGAGAAACATTGATGTGAGAAAGATTGATAGGTTGCCTCCTGTATGCTCCCTGACGGGGGGTCAAGCCTGAAACCTAGGTATGCCCCCTGACTGGGAATCGAACCCGCAACCCTTTGGTGCATGGGTCGATGCTCCAACGAGCTACATTGGCCAGGGCAAGGAGTTACTTTTTCATGCGTACAGAGTTTCTGTTTGTGATGGCAAAAAGGTTCTGGAGATGGACAATGGTGATGTTTACACACAATGTGAATGTATTTAATGCTACCGAATTATACACTTAAAATGGTTAACATGGTAAATTTATGTTAGGTATATTTTACCTTAATTAAAACACACACATACACACATCCAAGAGTCAGGAGAAACATGCTGAGAGCCCTCTAAAAACCTTTTGGGATGATTTTTATAGGCCAGATCACTTTTGAAAAAATTCATCCAAGGCAGACTTAACAGATGACATCTCCTGGAATATTTCATTGCTGCAAACAGGAATTCAAAACCAATGGTTTGCACAGTTGGCAGAATTCTTAAAAACCACCACCAAAAACCAAAAAATGTACCCAGACACTGGACAGTCTCTCTAATGATAAGAATTGCCAAAATCTAGACAGCACTAATTTCTCAACTCTGGAAAATGGTCTTTGCTTTCTCTTCTTACTTCCCCTTTCAATAGATTCCTAAAAATAAAAATTTTCCTCCCCTCAAAAAAAAAAAAGGAAAGGCCATGAAAAAGAAGGCAAGCTTTGGTTTGCCTGGAATGTATTTGTATAGCTGTTTTGAAGCAGTATAGGCAGATGAAAAAAATTAAGTTTCTAGATGAAACTTTATTCAGAAGGAAAGATGCAGAACAGGTACTTTTATGCCTCTTCATTTGAGAAGAGTAGAAACATGAATAGTAAAACCTGCCTGTATCATAATAGCTTTAAGAATTCCAAGCAAACTGATAGACCAGTGACCTGCACTTTTCCAGGTTGATCCCTTCCTTCCTGCGACTCGGATCCTGGAACGTCATCATGTTTGTGTGCTTTGAACGGCTGAAACGAGAGCTGACGAAGTCAAGGCAGCCTGCGGACTGCGCCACATGATTGTTGCCAGGAAAAGGCTGGAGCCCACCAGCGGGAGTCTTTGCTGACGGGATGATTAAAAAACAAACAAAAACCTCTTCCCTTTATTTCAATCTAAAAAGATAAAGGAATTCTAGTAGAGTAGAAAAGTTTGGACTATTTGTTTTTTCAAAAGGGAAACTAATACCTTTTATTTCCTGTGACTTTTATTCTGTGTTTTAAGAAGGGGAAAGCAAGACATTCAGTACACACTCTAGCAAATGTAATGTCCAGATAAGTTACTGCATTTGATTGACCACTGTGTGTGTGTGTTGGGGCTGTGAGGGTGGGGTGGTAGTTTATGACTAAATATGAAAAACTTTGTCTTAGTTATAAAATCAAACTGATAAAAAAGGAAGATTGAATGAAGTGTACTTTATAAATACTTAAAAATGAGCAATTAAAGAAAATATTACTATTTTCTTTTTTACTAACCCAGTTGTCAGTTAATATATTCAATAAAGTATTGCTAATACCTTTTTAAAAAATTTCTTTATTGTTGAAAGTATTACAAATGTCACTCCTTTCCCCCCCATTAATTCCCTCCACCCTGTACCCCTCCTCCCAGGCCTTCACCCCACTATGGTCTGTGTCCATGGGTTATGCATATGTGCATATAAATCATCATGTTTGTGTGTCTGAAATTTGTCAGTCTGTTCCATGCTTCTACGTCTCTGGATCCATTCTGTACATCAGTTTATTTTGTTCAGCTAATACCTTTTAGAGTTTGTCTTTTGGGGTCTATAGCAAGTGTAAGAGTTGAAGTTCACCTAGAATATTTGTATGGAACAACATTCCATACAAAATTGTCCAATAGCAAGTGAAGTCTTCAGAATCAAGAGGCACAAACTTACATTAAATGTTATTAGTACAGATTTTTAATTTTTAGTCCATATTTTATAGCATCTATAACAAGCTCTAATCTAAGACATTATATCTATTTGGGCATTGTTGTTATTACAATCATGGTATCTATTCTAGAATTACAGAATTTTAGAGCTACAAGGTACACTTGGTTAGACAGAGGAACAGATTGAGGTGAAAATGAACCTTCCAGACCTCTTTCCAGCAAAGCCAAGTTTGTTATTAAAACCTGTAGTAACTTTTTTCATGCCTACAAACGGAGGGCAGAAAGTAGGGAAAGAATAAACAAGAGATTAAAAGAAGTATAAGAGCCAACTCCTTTAGCTTTTTCTTGTCTGGGAAGGTCTTTATCTGTCCTTCAGTTCTAAATGATAGCTTTGCTTTTCATCACTCTGAATATTTCTTGCAAATCCCTTCTGGCCTGCAAAGTTTCTGTTGAGAAATCAGCTGACAGTCTAAAAGGGAGCTCCCATGTATGTAACTAACTGCTCTTCTTTTGCTGCTTTTGATTCTCTGTTTTTAACCTTTGGCATTTTAATTACAGTATGTCGTTGGTGTGTGCCTCTAGGTTCATCTTGTTTGGGACTCCGTGCTTCCTGGACTTGTAGGTCTATTTCCTTCACCAAGTTAGGGAAGTTTTCTGTCATGGCTTTTGTCAAATAGGTTTTCAATTTCTTGCTCTTTCTTCTCCTTCTGGCACCCCCATGATGTGAATGTTGGTAATCCAAGGAATGCCAGCAGAAGGGCCAGGAAGCCCAATTGTTCTTATCCAATAACTTCTTAAAGAGGTAATTAGCATATGAGTTAAAGTAAAAATAAAAAAGAATTCTGTGTATTCTGATTTACTCTATAGAAACATGGGTAAAGGATTAAATAAGAAGAGCATTGTTACATGGACCTAAATGACTTAAATAAAGGATTTGGGGGACAGGAAGAGAGCAGAAGTATTAACAGCAAGGCTTATAAGAGTTTCAACACGTGTTTTATTTGCTCACAACATTCCCAACAAAATGACATCACATTCCAACTATTGCTTTTACCCAAAGTAAACAAAAATCTATTTTTTCAAGTTGCCGACCAGTACTTTTTCCTCCAGGGAAAGCTACTGCTTAAATATTTGTTGGATACTTTAACAGAAACATAGAATTGCCCTATCACAGTATTGTAGTACTTGGGTCTTACCTGCACTACATTTTAAATTTCTCGTCAGAAACTGAAGCCAGAAAAAAACAGAAAAAAACCTTACTCATGATTTTCTCTCTCAATATTTTTAATGATCCTATGAATTTTCATGAAAAAAATTGCTGATGTGGAGAGGTTCATAAATATGAAAATGGAAGTTAAGCCTCCACAGACTTGTTCATAGAGAAGGTGGATGGACCATTTATCCTGAGAAAATAGATGCTGATCCCCCATCATTAATGTGAGGATAATAAGCATTATTGCTTTCCAAGCCAAACCTCTTCTCTTCTGTGTCATGACAACATGTAATCTTTCCTGCTCTGGCTTATGAGTGCTCACTTTTCACACTCATATAATGAGCAAATCTTTAAGCAAGTTCTACCTCACTGAACACAAAGGGGAGAAATGTACAAAAACTGTTGTGAACACTGGAATAAGAATGAAGAGCACATATGTTTTCTCATAGAAAAATAAATACAAGTCCAAGTAGCTCTTAAAACAGAAAAAATCACAATGGGCATTCTCAAGAAAAGGATTGTTTTCTAAACTGTAAATGGTGCCATTAAGACATTTATTTTTCTATCTAACTGTATCACCGTATTTATACACAAAGAGAGATTGGTCTAGGTTCACTGATATCCCCTGATTTCTCTCATTCTTTAATGACTGTCTTTCAGAAGATACCTGAACAACTGCTTAATTATTTTTTTTAGACTAGTCTTGTCACTGGCAAACTCTCTTCAATCTGGCACAAACTCTCTTCAATCTGGCACATACAACAATTCATTTCAACATTGATTCACTTTTCTGATGCTAAAACAAACATAACTTTCCTGCTATTTCAGTTCTATAACTACCTTGGTAGTTATTATTATAGACACAGGAAAGGCTCTCAACATGGATTTTAAGACTACTTAAAATTCTAACAATATATATGTGGAAAGCAAGGAAAAGTAGGAAGGCAGACACAATTATCCTATTTCTCTTTTCATCTATGTCGCTCTCACTTAGAAGTCAGAAGGCTCATGTTACACTCTAATTTACAACCAATGACACTTAGCTTGGCTTCCAGACTGTCAAACCTTGGAATCTGTTGGTGGCTTAGACCAGTTCACTACAGAGCTATCTGAAATGGTTACTGATTAGTTTAAGCAAAACAGAACAATATCTATGCTATACAAAAAGAGGTGGATTTAAAGAACATAGTATTGAGCAAACTTTTTAATGACATTTAAAAAATATTATCAAAAATATTTTTTTCCCTAGAAAGGAAAAAAATTATTTAAGAAGTTTCCCCTTCCATACTTGAGTCATTCTTTCATAAAGATACTGACAAAGGTTTAAATCAGTTCAAGACCTCAGCTGTTGAAAGATTAAAACATAAAGGTAAGTATTTTCAGCACAAATATTCAAAGACTAACAGAATTGCTTTCCATGCAATAGTAAACACGGTGATAACAAGGACTTAAATGGTTAACACTTGATCCCTATCAGGATTCTGCTACATCTCAGAAATCTAGTTGGATGATAAAGCATTAAAAACATGTAAAAAAAAGTAAGATACTCCCAAGGTTGAGTCCCCTACCAGAAACTGATTTTTAAACCCCTGTAATACTGAATAGCTAAACTGCCACGATTATAATAAAATGAACTCAGTTTTTTAAATAGCTTTATCTTGTTGAGAAAATCATAATTTTAATGCATGTGCTTTTAATGTGCTATAACACCACCTCTGTTATTTTCCAATCAAATATTTTTTACCACTCTTCTCTTTGGCAAGTTTGAAGAGAGGTTTGTTAATAAGCATAAACAAACACTTGAAAGTCTCAGGTCTTGATGAATCACATAAGAGCCAGTTCTTAAACACTGGATATAGACCATGTTAGAGGATGTACCAACTGTCATCATGTTTTAGATTAAATTATGTCGTTAACAGGCTGGTTTCTGTAGGATTTAAGGAGAACTTAGTAATCACTTGCACCTATCTACAAACTCTTTCAGTTTTGCTACAAGAACTAATGTCTAAAACACACAAAGAAGAAACCATTCTCATTAGAATCTCATCATTATGTAATCTTAACATGCTTGCTGCTCTCCTGAGATTTTAGGAGGATAAAGCTGTACAAAATGCACAATCATCATCCTCAGGCTACTTTAGGATCCCACAGATTGTTAACTCAAAGAATATCCATACAGCCCATACGTCATCATCTAGAAACACTATGGAGTAAAGCAAAGAAGCAAAAGTTAACAGTAAGTAAAATAAACCAATGATGTTTAGCTGAGATTTTAAATAAACTTTAAGTTTTCTTAAGTTCAAAGACAGCTTTATTAAAACAGCAACTGCCCTTTGAATACAATCAAGATATTCTGAGCAAATACATCTCTTTTCATAAACACACATAGGTAGAGAAGCCCCATAAAAGGCTCTCACACCAGGTACTAAGGTTCTTTTCTACAAATGACAAAAACCAAAGACTAAAGATGAGAAAACATCTTAAAGATGTTGAAAGCTTTAAGTTTCAAAATAACATTGTAATATTTTAAAGTGTGTGTTTAAAGTCAAAAAAGCTAGTCACCAATACTGTCATTCTCTCATTATCTGTTATGCTAAATAGGCAACCCCAAAAGGAGGCCAAGAGTGTTCCCCTTCTCTGACATACCGATGCTCTTGGTGCTACTAATGAGGCAACACATGGGAGTGAGAGTCCTACAAAAAAACCACGAAGAACCCCTCTCCCTCCTAATTAACCTACAAATAAAATAAGAGAAAGAAAATAAAGAGCAATATTTCCAAACTCAAAAACAAAAAATTTTAAGAACTCTACAAAGATACCAACTTGATGGCTACAACACATAAAAGTGAAAACTGATATTTATACATTGTAATTAACCAATTTAATACAAATACCTGATCTGTACTTTTATAGTAAATGGGCTAAGTCCCAAGTTCCAAACTGCAGTTGCCATGACTCCATAGAGGGATCTTTGGAAGGATAAGGTACCTTTGGAGGACAGTGTATAAACAACTGTAAACATACACTGATTGTCCACTAGCTTTCTTAAATAGAATTTCTGAAATATTTCTGTAGGAAATTATATATATGCAGTGTAATTAATCAGATCATTTCTATTACAACATATAAATTCTGTTGTGTGTGCAAAATGTGGTAGAAATAGAAGATACTAGAAATGATTCATATTTTTAAAGTAAGTGATACGTTATAATCCAGTAAGAGTCCTTTAATCTTTTCATGAAACTTCTCTCTATATATGTTGAAATACATAATGCTTTCTGGCTTTTCTTCAAACCAAAACTTGTCAAATTCATAGACAAGATAACCTGTAGGCAAAAAACAAACATATAGTACTTAATAATGATGTCACATCCAAACCATCTCATTTTGAAAGTATATAACCATCCATTAAATTCCATCATATAATAATCAGAAATCATCTTAAACTAGAAGAAATCTGAGGAATTTTATAAGAAATATTTTTGTATGTTCAAAATAAACAGCAATTTCAGCAAAATGCCTCAATTTTAGGAGCTATAATATTGTCAAAAGATACCTTGAGAATAGGGGAAAAAAGTTATCCCCAGAGACCCCTGAAACACAAAAATGAAAGTAACAAGAAAATGTTGGACATGGAAAAATTACAGGAAAGCTGTTTTCTATTTGATTTCTAAATCTCAGAGATATTTCTACTTTTTCCAATGAATCAGCAACCTTTTTAAAAAGAATACATAACTCTAAATAGGTTTAATATTTTTATTTTTCTATATCCTCATTACAGTAGCCAATTTAACCCTGAAAATGTTAAAAGTGTTTAATGAGACTAAATATTAAAATAGATATATTTATAACAAAAAGTGTGAATTTAAAACTACTCCTAAACCCTATTTAGACTGAACCTATAATGACTTTTTTTTTACCCCAGATATTTCTTTGATGCTCATCCTAGACAGGAGCCAAACAAGATGCTGGTGTTGAGGGCACTGGGGTCGACAGTAGCCAAAGATGCTCAAGTTAGCCATCTTTATGGAAAGATGAATAGAGAAATGGATAACTGAAGGAAAAGAGTCTCTGATAAGACAGACTTCCCAGGGAAGGTCACATCTAACTGAGATTTGAAAGATGAGTAGACAACACATGGAAAGAATGGAGGAAGCAGGAACAGTGTTCCAGGCTGGGTGAAAAGTCCAGAATCAGAAGACAGCATGATATATTTGTGCAACTGACAGAGGACATGTGCCTAAATTTTAGGCTGCAGGGAGCTGGTGTGGGGTAGAAGATGAGTCTGGAGAGGTGACCAGGTGGGTTATGCAGGGCCTTGTCATGGGTCCTTTTGGAAAATTGTAGGCAGTGGAGTAAAATGACTAGATTTCCATTTTAAATAACTATACCCTCAATGTGGAGAAGAACCAGGAGAAGGTCTTCACAGAAAGACTGGTGAAAAGGTGATTACAGTGACTCAGTAAGAAAGGCCTGAGGTCATCCAGTTACAAGGGGGATGGGAAAGAGTGGATGAACACAAGAGACATTTAGGGAATACAAGAGAAATTCAGAAACTATACAAACCTGGAATTAAGGATTAAGTAAAGATGGGGAGGTTATGGGGAAAAGAGGCCTGAATGACACCTTCAACCACTGATTTGAAGAAGTTATGATTTGGCCATTTATACCTAAATAGTTTCCTATATCCTGCAGACATGCAAATGACATTCTAAAGACACAAAAAGATCAAGAAAAGTAGAGCATAAAAGCTAAGCTGGATTTGAATTCTTTGCTTCTGAGCAGTATCTTCTGAAGATGGGGTTCATGCAATTAAATCTTCAGTGTTCAAATGTCATCAGAATAAAAGTTAATGGAACAGTGGTAATATGACTGCTTGAGGAAAAGTTATTAAGTAGCCCCAATGATGACCTAGACTTGAAATAAGAAAGGGAGGGGGGCTGAAATTTTTTAAATTAAATTTTCTTACAAGAGTAACAAAATAATCTGCAAATGGTCTGTCCTTGATCAACAGCATTGATTAACCAGTATTCAAGAGGGAAAATTCATTTTATAGTTGATTGAAAAATGGATACCTACAGAAAACTGGGTAAACACTACATTTGTATACATGTGAAAAAACTGCCTCACTGAATATTTTTAATCAGCTAATATAGAAATTGAAATACAAAATACTTCGGTGAACCCATCTTCTCTTACTTTCCATTTTTCCAAAAATCCTAAATAACAAAGTGATAGAGGTTATTATACATTATACCTTCCCAATTATTAAAAAATTTTCTTTGAAATATCTAGTTTTAACTCCTTTTAATACTCACAATAAAACTGATGAAAGTGTTCCATTGTTGGTACACCAGGAACAAAGTTGTAGAGATGAAATTTCAAAGCTTCACTCTTCAGCAAGCTATAAGCCATCTCTGTTAGATTGATTCCAACTATTGCATAAGAATACCTACGTCAGAAACATTACTAGTTATACCAACTAGCCAAATAGTTCATAAAATAAATTTGAAATTATGCAAGAAAGCAGTATGTTATTTTGATCCATTTCTAACACAGTACTGACTTTACAATAATCTCTACATATTAAGAAAAATAACCAGAATAGATTTAAAAATTTTGTTCTTTAGAGGCTGTTGACTTTCTGGATATAATCTAAGAAATAAAAATAAAGCTCTGGTTACATGAATACCTAAAACCAAAATCCTTAAAAAACCTAAAAGGACCACAATATATATATGTATATTATTTTCTCATTGATTTCTAAAATACACTGAGTAATCTGACATTTTCTCTTCCATTATCAAGGTATTTATTTTTTTATTTAATTTTATTATTATTTTTTAAATATGTTTTTATTGACTTCAGAGAAAGAAAGGGAAAGGGAGAGATAGAAACATCAATGATGACAGAGTCATTGGTCGGTTGCCTCCTGCATGCTCCCCACTGGGGACTGAGCCCACAACCCGGGCATGTGCCCTGACCGGGAATCATACCTTGATCTCCTAGATCATAGGTCGATGCTCAACCTCTGAGCCACACCGGCTGGGTAGGGTATTTATTTTTAAGATGTAATATTGTTATAATGATTTTTCAAAGCTAGGTATCATTGGAATATAAAAATGGAATAATATTATATGATAAAACTAATAATATGATCTCAATTTGCATTTCATGTCAGAGTTCTCAAAGCTATTTCTCATATTCCTAAAAAAATCTTTATAAAGGCCTTATCCCATTTTACAGATAAATTATATCTTGTGATAAAAAAACAGTGAAATACATATAAAATTGGTTTATGACCATAGGCAGCCTTAAAAATAATGTATCATGCAATATCCTTTAAAGTTCTTATCAATTAAAATAATCTCATTTCTAAAATACCTTGAAATACTTTCAAATCCAGATGATCTAATCAACTTAAATCCAAGAGCTTACAGTTTCTTTAACACATCTGGCTTACCCTAATTTTGGATGATTTGAACGGGAAAGAATCTGATGTGCTTCCCTGGTGTAATTTTCACTAAAATACCTAAAAAAATTTAAGAAAATAATGAAATTAATATGAGTCATTCAAACGGAAGCTGTCCAGAAGCAATTTTAAAAGTTGCTGTCAAAATGATACCCACAATCATCCCGATTAATCTCCACCTCAAATCATCTCAGTGACTCAGAAATGCTTTTGAATCAATCAGAATTTAATTCTGAGCTATCAGGCCTATCTAGCATGGGACATGGGCCCTTGGCAAGGCTTTAAGGTATTTTAACAAATAAGTGATCTACCTACCTTAAAAAACAAACAAACTAGAGTTCTTTTGTTCGTTCAACTTAAGTCTGTACTGTTTAATGTCACCAGTGCAATCAGAAGAAAGTTAATAAACTCCATTTTGCACTAAAAAAACCTCCTTGATATGTGGCATCACTAAAATACTGGCCATAAAACAGAAGTATGAGGAGAAATAGATACAGCTATCTATTTGTAGGCTCATCTATCCTGTTGGCTTGCACTCATGCAATCTCTGAGTTCTTAAAGATAGAGACCAAATCTGTTCAACCTTTGGATCTCCTCACGATGCACTAGGAGTCATACACATGTACGTATATGATGATTGACTGGATATTGATGTGAGAATAGGAAGTAAAATAAAAGTGAATTTACATGTTTTATTTAAATTTTAGACAGCAAATCACTGAAATTTTCGTAAAGCAAACAAATTTCTAACCAGATTTCCCTTCTCTACTTTTTCTCAATAGTAACAGAATATAGCCCAATTTCAGGCCTAATTTCTTTACAGTAACTATCTAAACCTTGTTAATGGTCAGGGTTCCCATTCCAGGTATTTTGCGGTCTATAAATCACAATTCAAGGACAGACCCCCACACTAGAATCTCTTCATCTGCATATCCTTAAAGGAGAAAAGTAATCTTCCAGTTTACTTTCTAGAATAGTTTTGGCTATCAATTGTGTTTTTAGTTCCATATTTTGCAATTTCACATATATGCCCAAGAATAAGTATTAAAGAAGAAAAGGAGACAGAGTCCACATAGGCTCTGGAAAGCCTGGGATTTAGATCACTTGTGACATATGGCAAAGAGTAAGTGTGAAGAGACTTCATTATCATCTTATCTGGTTACGTTTCCCCAAATGGAATCAGAAAGCCAAGACAGAAGAGGCAAGAGGATTAAAAATAGCAATATAACAGTGTAAAAAAGCAATATAAGAGTGTAAGTGGTATCAGAAGGGAGGTCAGGAAGAGAAAGGAAGAGGAAAGGTATTGGTACGTAAAGAAATCACACACACACATACACAAGTACATTTCCAAATGTCTTCCTATTGTTGCCAACACATTCGTAAATACTTCTAGCACTGCAGCTATTAAAGTTCAGAAAGAGTAGGAAACTAAATTGGAGATTACATGTAATTTCATTTAGAGAAGAAAAGACAGTTTATTTTCACTTACACAAGGTTGATTAATCCGAGTATGCCCATGCCTCTGAAGTCTGTTTTGGGATCATCACCCTGGAAACCAATGTCAGCCCACTGCTTGGAGATTCTAGCCTTCAACTTTTTTGTGGGCATTAGAAGGTTCCAAAGCTGTACAAACATGCTTCCATGTTACAAATAATAGTGATGTTCTTAAGTTACAAAGATTTTTTTCCTTCTCATAGCTGATATAACTAGTAAGTTGAATGCTTTCAATTAAACAACTTTTGTAGACAAATTATAGGTTCAACAAAGACTGTTTTGAGAACTATTTAATTATCGTAAAAAATTTAGCATGTTTATTCCAATTTAAAAGACTTATATAAAGAATAGATTTTGAAACAATACACAGAAATCTAAAATAATGAGATGTCTGTATTTACTAATACATATGTATTATATACCAGAATTGGTAAACTATTTCCTTGAGAATAGTGTTATGTACTTGGCCCTTGCTTCTGACACTATACTTAAGTAAGCTCTATTCTAAGAGTGGGTGATTTGTCCCTAATCAGAAGAAGGAAAATAGGTCTGAATTGGGGAGGGGATCATGAAGAAATAATATAGACAGTATTCCAAATCATATGATTATTATTTTATAAATTTTCATAGTTTTAATTTTTTTGTGGAACCTCTTCCTTAAAGCTAATATATTACTGCTAAAGACTGTTAATAATTTTTTTTAGCATTCTTAGTGCCAGATCTGAACTCTCATGTTTTTTACTTTAAGATATTTTTCTAGGCACTCATAATTGTAAAATGTTTCATTTCTTCTATGTTCCCTTTGGTCTTTCTTAGTTCAGTTAAATGGAATTGCCTATGGTCTTTCCTGTAATCCTGTTTCTTGATGGTCAATATCTTAATTTTATTCTCTCAATAATCTCAGTTAAGGAATAGAAACCTGAATACTCTAGACTTTTCCAGTAGAACCACTTGACTTGAATATTCGAACCATTTAAACAAAAAACAAAGGTGAAATATTTAGTGTCAATACATTTTTTGGTTTATATGATTTGTTTAATTAATGAGGTTTGGAACTCCTTATTCAACTATCTTGCCCCCAAATGGGGAGGTTTACTACTTAGTTGCAAGTAAACTACTGTGTGTTTTTTCCCCTTGATCTTTTTTTTTACTTATTTTTTCAGTTGAATTTATTGGGGTGACATTTGTTAATAAAATTATAAAGGTTTCAGGTGTACAATTCCATAATACATCATCTATATATTGTATTGTATGTTCACCACCCCAAGTCAAGTCTCCTTCCATCTCCATTTATCTCCCCTTTTCCCTCTTCTATCCCTTCTACCCCTTCTTGCCCTCTGGTAATCACCATACTGTTGTCTGTGTCTACGAGGCTTTTTTTTTTGCTTTAAAAGAAAAAAATAATATAATGGCTTTAACTGAATATATTCCTTAAGACTGAGATAAAATATCAGACAGCTATCATAACATAAGACAGCTATCAAGTGTTAGATAGCAACAAACTAATTAATGCAAAATAAATTTTAAAATATTTAACCATTTTCTAAATTTGACATATGTCATCAAATGAGAGACTCACAAAAGTTGTTAAGTTTATGAAAATCTGCAGAACAGAAATACTTGGACTTTTTTTCTGTTTCACTACCATTTCAGGCATTGTTGAGTAAAGGGACTCATAATAAAAGGCGTATCCCGTTATCCCAAAATAAAATTCGAAGACCTGTGGCCCTGCTTTAAAACAGTCAAGACTCTGCTGGCTCTGAAGCTAAATGAATGATTAGGCTGGGTTTTAACTGGTCCTTTTAAAAATTACTAACAGATTTCCCTTTATATGTTTAAAATCTATTTCAGAATTAAAAGCATTTCAAATAAAATTTATTTGAATATATTTTAATGATACTTACCAGAAAATTATAAAAAGAGTTAACTAAAACTCTTTCACCAACAGAACAAAATTCTCTAAGGGGCAATGAAACTGGATGGCTGTATAAGCCTCCAGAATTTGCACAAAGACCTTACTAGCTCAAGCCTGGTTTATATTTTTCCAGTGTTCAGTTAACTCCAAATGCAGAAAACAAAACTTACCTTGAGAAGCAGCTTTTCATGTTGCTGGTTATCAGAATCATACGGTCTTTTTCTCACACTTTCTACATCCAAATAGAGCTGTTTATAACCAGATATCTGAAGTAAGCATGCCTTCATGCAGATTTTAAAACTGAAAATGACAAAATTATTATTTTAAAAAATCATTCCTCCTTATCACAATAAAGTAATGCCTTCCATAGCTTGTGATTCATATGTCTATTTAGTTTACTAAACTCCTAGTTTTCAGTTTAATACAATAAGCACCAATAACCTCTTTAAACACAAAACTTTATATGACATATCAGGAAGGATATATCAGGGTCTAGAAAGAGGACACGACATGGTAGGAAGGGCAAACTTTGCAACTGTCTCTTCTTTTCATGTTTTCCCTGGGCAATCTCATACATTCCCAAATCTTTATGGCCAGTTATCACCAACAGACTTAATTTTCCAAGAATATATACATAACAAACAGGTCCAGGACAAGGTTATCTCAGTTCTCCCAAGTACAACAGCTTATCTTCCCTGAGGAAACATGCTTTTTCTTAATACACCCCTAAACCTATAATGGCATCATTAATCATTAGTTCCCCAAGCTAGAACCCTCCCAGTTGTGATTTTCCTCTCACCAAATACATCAAAAGATCCCCAAGCCCGCATCCTTTTTATCTCTGAAATGTCCCTCAAAGCAATCATCATATATTCATTTATGCTGATATACTTATGGCTTTGTCATCTCTTGCCTGAGTGACTCAGTTTTCTAACTGTCCTGTCTTTATCCCTTCTGCCAGCCTCCCACATCCCCAAATTTACCCTCCATCATCCATTTTCTTTAAAATACCTATCTGGTAATATAGCTTGTTTGCTTAAAAAAAAAGAAGAAACCCAAAGGAAAACACCTGTGTGTCTGTGTGACAGCAGTCTAACACTCCATGCACTTCTCCAACCAGGGCTCTGCACGAGCTCAGTGCCCCAGCCACAGGCTCCCCGACACGCCCCGATGCTGCTCCACTTTGTGCCCTGTTGGCATTCTTCCTCTGCAGGGCAGGTCCTCCCTACTCACTCAACAAGGTCCAGCTCTTCTGTGGAACTATCCTCATAGTTCTCTCCTGTCCCATTCCCTGTTCCACCCAAAATAAACGGCGCCTTCCCCTACACTTACACAGAAAATGCTAAAGATCAAACAAATTGCTGAACCCTTACAGGCCCAGGTACTGGTCCTGAGAACTCAAAAATGGAGTAAGTCAAGTCCTTCTCTTATGGAACTTAACACTTGTTAGGGGAAGAACAAGAGAAAATCAACGACGACAGTACAACGGGTTGTGCTATGTGAAGCGCTCTGTGACAGGACAGAGCAAGGGCCCCTAACTCAGACAACGGGACCTAGGGAGGACCTCCCCGGAGAAGGGCAGAGGAACTGAATTTTGAAGGACAGGAAGGACATAGTAACTGAAGTTATTTAACTTTGGGAAGGTAATGGTAAGTTACCTTAAAAAAGGCAGAAGGTAAACTGGCAATAGCACTGGGCTGGGAACCAAGAGACACAGGCTCTAGATCTGCCCCATCACTCGCCTCTCTGGGCCCCAATTCCTCACACACCAAAATGAGCGGGTGGAGTCACACCATCTCCACAACGCCTTTGGCTCTAAAGCTTCTGACGATGTGTGATCTCCACCATCACAGGATGTACGCACAGAATGAAAAAGAAGCCTGCAAACGGCATACCTGACATCCTTCTCAGCGCTGATACGCTTTTCTCTCATTATATCTTCTACGCACTTGTCCACTTCACTCTGAACAACTGTCGCTTTCTGTAAAACCTATTGATGTGACAAAAAGCTGATTGAGAAAAATCCCTTATAGCTGAAAAGAACAATAAGTTTTGAGATATTTAGTCAACTCTACAATGCCAATATTAAAATGCAAAATGAAACCAAATTTGTTTCCAATTTTCAGTTGGGCTTAGATCACTCAAGCAATTATTTAATTAACTGAGAGAAAGGTAACACATTCAGATAAAAGCTTCCTTAACTGAGAATCGAGAGGTTCTCTTAGTGAATGAGCTAACACCATAGTGCGCTTATGAAGTACAGACTTTTTATAAAATTCAAAAATGACATAATAAAAACGTGCAAAAAATTTTAATGCAGAAGTAAAAAAACTTTTAAATGAAGAAGAGCATAAAGAATAAAACACGAATAATCTTATAATCTTACCACCAGTGACAGGCACTGTAATAGATCAGCATATATGCTTGGGGTCTTTGTTTTATGCATACAAAACAGATTTCTTAAATAATGCATCCTATATATGTCCACTGGATCCTTCCTTCCATCAAACAAGCACATGCAGGCCTTCCTTATCCTTGAAGTTTCTCTAACTCTTGTCCCTCTCTGGTATCCTTTATACTCCAGACAAAATACTCCAGTCATTTCTCTGCTTACCCTGTGCTTTCATATGCAATGCTCCTTTCCTTGGTCTAGAAACTTATCAATCCTTCCCATTTTTAAGCTAGCTCACATACCAGGTCCAGAAAGCACTCCCTCATTCTATTCAAGTGGAAGTAACCTCTCCTCTCTTGGAATCCCCATAATAACTTATCTGGAATCTCTCTATGATCACAACCAGCATTAAACAACAACGAAAGGAAAAGAGAAAATAATTGGAAAACACCACTTTCTGTATTATATATTAAATGGGAAACTCTTTGAGGACAGACTGTATCTAGCTTATCTTTTCATATGCTGCTTATAAGAGATAACTGACAAATATATACATACATTTGTGTTAGTATATTCACAGAGTGTGAATGCTTCATTTTTTCATAGGTCACTTTCTAGAACATAACTGATATGCCCGCAATATTCAACAAGGTCCACTGTGTTTGTGGCATGAATCAGTAATGCATATCAGTATCACTAGACAGTAGCAAGTCAATATTTTTTTATCCATATTTTATTTATTTATTTTTGATCCCATATTTTTGACTCACGCTATATACCATGACCAAGTACACACATTCAAAGGGATATCTAAAATATACAGATGCACATACAGATAGCTAAAATGAAAATTCCATAAAATAATATTTAACCTTACTATGACCAATGTTTTCCAATTATTTCCTATTCTATTCCTTTCATTGTTGTTTAATGCTGGCTGTGATCTACAATGGGATTTCAAAAAATGGTCTAGGTGGCCCATGCTCTACCTTTGCCATACCACATGTATACATAGAAAAAAATGTGTACTACTGTTAGGGAAGTACAGCATGTAACTGACTGAATTATTGGTCCTCATTTCTCACCCCCCTGTAATTGAATTATATGCCCCATATGCCTACCATGGCCTTATGGTGGGCATAGCGTATTTCTCTATCTTGACTTGGGCTTGGCAGCATAACTTACTTTAGCCGATTGAATGGTAATGGATATGACACCAGGGAACTTAAAATATGTCTGTGTGGTTAGGGCTTCAATGGTCCACAGTGAGAACATTCCCCAGGTACTCACTAACTTTCCAACCTGGGTCCCAGAATGAGACAACTGCAACAGACCTGACCTTGGCACCAGCTTGAAGAATCATCTCTCCAGCTGGCCAGCATACACATGAGCAAGAATTTAAATAACATATTGTTATATGCCCTGAAATTTTATGTTTGTTATACAGCAGAAGCAGACTAATAATAACATGAGGTCTGACTTATTTTGGATCAAAAGGTACGTGACCCAGGGTGTTCTATAACTATTCAAAAATTGCTTGATTTTTTTTCTCAAGAAAGAATCTATCCTAAGGACACAGGTGTAAAAGAAGGTTTCCCCCCAAGACCCTGCTTCCCCCAAAACTATTGAGCCTTGAGGCAAAATAAACAAGCAAAACCTCAGAACAGGACAAATTATTCAAATACCTTCTTTGTGCATGAATAGCGTGTGCACAGATGCACACAGAAAATATTTTAAAAATTAAATATTACTTCTAAAGTGGAAAATTTTCACTTAATACTTTTTACAACAAAGACTCCTCTGGTAAGATATTAATAATTAATTCTAAAATAGAAGCATCCTTTTAAAGAAAAAGTTATCTCCCAGTTAAATTTTCTGGAATTATCACCTTGATATGATCCTACCTTATTCTTGGAGTACATCAAGGAATTTTCTGAAATGAAAAAGAATGTTATCACTTAAATGCTGTTTGTGAATTACTCCATAATCAGAGAGTATAAATATCAAGCCAATAATAAATTATTTTCATAGTTCTAGAAGGTATTTTTGCTTGAATAACATAGCAAACGTTTTAAAATTTATCCTTACAGTATAGAGAACTAGAGATGATTTCAAAATACTCAACCCAGCCCAACACACCACAGTCAAAGAGGTAAAGTCAACCTAATTTCCCCAGAGTCATCTGTTTCTAGCAGACCCTGAGTGGCTACTAACCACTGCAAATTCATACGTGACCACCTCGGAACAGCTGGTGTCCCAGAAACTCAACCTAAGACTACAGTGAGAGTGCTTTCTACTACATTTTCTTCATTTGTTAGCCTTTAGGAGTAAGCATTTCAATTTCATGAGCTAGCAACTGAATTATACAACATCAGAGGGGCAAAAATGAAAAGACTTGAGATAATTTGCCTAACCATCCTCGAACCAAACAAATAGCAAAAGAGCTTCTCCATTCTTGTCTTCTGTTTCAAGAATGACTAACATTTTTATTAGTTTATTAAAAAAAATTTTCTGGCACATCTGATCAGTCTTTTTCTCAGCAATTTGAAAAATTCGAGAAAAATGCTTTCGCCACAAAGTAAGGCCTTAACGTTAAGTTTCCCCCACACACACGCTATAAAACACCAAGACTGCCAAGATTTCTTATCAAGAGGTACTTTGTTCTTCTCAGAACAGTTAAAAGGGCAAATCAAAAGAGCAGGCAATAGTTTAAGTCAGCCACAAAGTTGTGAGAAAAGTAGGGAAGTAATTAAACTTCAATCATCCAGCTGTCCTGAGCATTACTCTCTCCTCAAGTCTGTCATCCTTTCAGTTGCCTTGGATACCAACACCCACTCCCCAAGTCCGACAGGGGGTGGATTTCTTAGTTGAAGCATGCTTGTTCAATACAAAAAGAAGGCCTGGTTAAGTCATGGTTTTTCATTTAACACAGTGAGCATGAACTGCAGCTGATCTTTGGTCTTCTTTACCCTGGTCTAAAAGAAATGACCTCCACCATATTTGTCACTCATCTGTGTTCTAATTTAAAGCAATATTTTCAATTATGCATTGAAAGCTGATAAGTTTCAGACGGTAATAGAGCGGTATTGTTCAACAGAAATATAATGCAAGCCAAAATGTGAGCCACATGTGTACTTTAAAATTTTCTAGAGTAGCCACATTAGAGTAAAAGAAACAGATAAAACTAATTTTACTATTTTAAACCAACATATCCAAAGATATTTTACATCCTTTGTTTATATGAAGTCTTTGAAACCCAGTGCATATTTTATACTTCTGCACATCTTGATTCATACTAATCACGTTTCAAGTGCTCAACAGCCACATGTGGCTACTGGCTAGAGTACTGGATAGTCCATATTTTAAGTCTAATAATGTTTCCTAGGGATCACTGGATATCTAGTACTGTCCTTTCATGAATTACACAAGAGACTAAAAGATTGATGAAGGATGCTGAGTATAAAAATGGATCAAAATCTTTCTCATCACTTGGGTGAAAATTTCAAAGGGCTTAGAAAAGTATAGAGATTTTTCTCTAGAATATAGGTTATAATTATAATCTAAGGAACAACCGATGAATTTCAGGAGCCAGAGAAAATAACTGTTTGCACAGACGGGAAATTCAATAATAATTTTTTTCTTTTTCTGCAAGATCATACAGTTTTAGAGCTGGAAGGACTTAATGCTAGATTTCAAAGATTATGAAAATGAGTTTAAGCAACCTGATCAAGATACACAATGAGTGCATCTGTCACTGAGTAATGAGAAAAAATATTCATTCAGAGTTAAAATTTCATTAGTTTTTAATTATTCTTTTTCAAATAACATTACCTATCCTGTGTGTCCTTTGGGCACCTACATAGGTATCAAAAATTCGCTGCAATTCACACTTTCCAGTCATCTGTCGCAAGAGCCATTTCATCCAAAATCGAAAAAAGTGCCCATAGAAGAAGTCCCACAAATAAATAAACATTTTTTTCCTGGAGAAAGAAATATATGACAGATTTAATGACTTTAAATTGGATTTTAAAATGGAAAAAAATTAGTTTATCCAACTCACCAAATCTCAAATTATATTAATATCTATTATGCTGTTCCACTGTAGCAGTGTTTAAGGAATCTAAGAAAACAATGAGAGGTGTAATATATACTATTTAGATTAAATGATAGCTGTTCAAATGGCCAATTTATCACTTTTTAAAAATTAAAATCAAAGAGACTTACTTAAAACTCTCAGTTCCCTATTTTAATTTTCCATTCTTTGAGAACTGGGGCTCAACAGTTCACGAACAAAAGGAACTCAACTAAACAACAATGAAATCAAATATACCACGTACCACAATTGTTATTATATAAGCTCTTAATCCCTTATGGATGATACCAGTTACATCTATCCCACAGTCAGGGGATGCCGGCAAATAAAAACACTACATAAGGCTTACAAGTTGAAGTATACAAGTTGAACACTGAGTAGATCGCATCCTGGCTAAGTCTTTCTTTTCCATTCAACAGGTGAAGGGCTGAAATACTAAAGAGGGCAACGAACTATACACCCTCAATAAAACGGAATCTTCATGTCCTAAGAAAAACCCTTCAGCTCCTACGTGATGCGCGGCGGGGGTGATGCAACAGAGTAATTACTTAAAAACAAACAAAACGCTCGTCTCCTTCATGCCATAAGCATCCCCACCTATACATCATCTCTAGAGCGGGGCCGGAGAGGTTGTCAATTTCGAAATCCCCGCAGGTCGGTGCAGAAACGCTGCACTTCAGAGACGGGCTGAACGGTAACGTGAGAATGAACCCGTCGCGCTCATCGCCACAAAAGAGCTGCCAAGCGGAGGGAGAGCCAGCCTCGCGGCGCCCGAGCTCCCCAGGCCTCTGGGCGTCGCTGNTACTCCGCGCTCATCGCCACAAAAGAGCTGCCAAGCGGAGGGAGAGCCAGCCTCGCGGCGCCCGAGCTCCCCAGGCCTCCGGGCGTCGCTGCGCCCAGACCCCGTTTCGGAGCCCGGCTGAGCCCGGCTCGGGCGCTGCCCGCGAGCGCGACGGAACCGTCGCACAAAGCCCCGTCGGCCCCGGCGCCCCGCGGATCTGCCGTGGGACACGCGTGGCTCACGCACCGGCGCGGAAGCAGCACGGGGCCAGAGGAAGAGAAACTGCGGCCACCTCACACGAGCGGAAGAACTAGGGGGTGGTGCTGGAGTCTGCCTCGGTTTCCCCAACTGCGAACAGCCGGCAACGGAAACGACGTTACTCCTACAGCGCTTTCCGCGGGCACCGTGACCCGGAAGTCGGGGAGCGAAGAGGCGGGAACGCCCGTTCCCGAGACACCGCCCACCCCCCCTCCGGCCTCCTCCGATTGGCCCGCGCTCCACCAATTGCTTACGCAGAGAGAAGGTCGAGCGCGGTTGCTTTGGGCGCGTGCTCGGATTCTAGGGACGCCGGGCGGTTTCCCTAGCAACGGCTACCCGGTGGCGCGCCCCGCGCCAACGCGGGTCTCGCCCAGCGCTCCGCGCGACGCGTCTCTCGCGGTCTTTGGCGCAAGTTGACACCTTGGAGGCTTCTGCACTCCAGACGCGGAAGAAGTGGGGTGCTTTTGGTAACTATTATTGCGCTTTCACCTACGTTTAATCTTAAGTCGGTGTATTTTCCTCCCGTCGTTGATAATTCACTTAAATTATACGCGGATTTTCTACTGTATGTTGGACCCCAACCCCGCGTTCAAAGGTCAGCTGTAATTATTGACGGTCCCACTTCATGGAGGAGGAAACAGGGCGTTTAATGACCTGCTCGTGGCTAATCAGTGGCCGATAAGGAGAGTCTTACGTGTTGAGGAAAGAAGTTTGGACTTAGTTCGATAATAATAAACATCCAAGAGTTAAGTCATCAAATATTTATTCCTTAACTGGTGGTTTTTCTTGAAAAAAGAAACTTATGTACTGATTTTTTAAAAGTCTCATCTCAGACAGTCCATTCGTTAATTCAAGTATTTGTTGTTTGCCTGTTAGGTACCAGTCAGGGTTCCAAAAGGTAGCCTTACAGTGAACAAACACAAATATTTATTGCCAGGGGGCCCTAAAATGAGGCGTATGGGGAGGGGGAGTTTTTACACCCAGGCAGTCAGGGGAGTCTCTGTGTTCAGGTGACATCTGAGCAGCGTCCGGGCGCAGGAGTGTGTGGGGAAGAGGAGTGTGTCCAGGCGCCAGGACGGCAAGTTCAAGGGCCTTGAATCGGGAGCATCCGTCATAGACTGGAGGGAGAGCAAGAAGCCAGGGTGGCCGGAGGAGCAAGAGCAAGGGAAAGCAGGATGTGAGTTCAAAGGGCTATTTACAGGGGAAAAT